AACCAGTGACACGTAGTTGAACATTAGTAGTCGTAAACCCAAAAATTGGGTCGACTGTTCAACGGCGGTCATAAAACATAAAACCCTCGGGTTATCCTAGTAATCTCTCCTCCCTTCGCTTTCCTCTCTCCTTCCTTTCACTTTCTCCCTTCTCTTCTCCCTTGTCGTGGTCACCAAATTTACTGGGGAGAGCTGTTCGACTACGTTCGCTTGCTATCCTGCTGTATCGGATCCTTATGGGAAGAAACCACCCACGTGTTCGTCGTGTGTGTAGATCCGTGTCACTGGAAGAGAGTATCCTGGAAACTGAGGAACATCCTGGTACCCCAGCACACTGCTTTAGCCCATGCTCCAGGTAAACTGGAAGTGCATATTGGCTTATATGCATCAATCGGCAAGTCACGGAAGTCATCTGCTAGCTAGAGCCAAGTCCGAGATCGCTTACCGGGCACTTCGTTAAGAGTTGAGTCCGTTTCGGGGGTGACTTTCAGGTGTATAGCTATTGGTCAGCATCGATGTTGACGGATTGGTGTCAGGACTGATCTCTTGTTAAAGACGTTATTACTCAATCATCCACATCAAGTTCATAATGTCTATATGCTTTATATCATTGAACTATCGTGGTTTGCAAAACAAGCTTCTGATGTCAAACATATTATTTTTAAAGGAGCAAACTACATGCATTGCTTTGCAAGTGACACATTTAGCGCTATCAGATAATTTTAAATTGCGTAACTGCTCTTGATCCCGTCATGATTTCCATGATGGAAGTCGATCTCACGGTGGTGTTACAATTTTAACTTCAACAGCTTTTCCATCAACTCCCTTTTAATTATCAACCTCATTACAGGCTAGCGTTGTTCAAGTCCAACTTAATGTTCTCCTCATACCATGCTCTGTTCATCTATTAGTTTATATATTTGTTTATCTGTTCGGCTGTACGATCTGCTATATTTAAATTCAATCTATACTCTTTTCTGAAGTAAAAATTTATATTAGACAGTTTATCACATCTCTAAGGCAACTCCAACGCAATCTCGAAATTGCACTCTATAAAATCAGATTTTATCCCCTTTAATTGTATAAAGTTGATTCGTCTCCGAATAATGAAGAATTATCCGCAGAAATGGGTTTTTCGGGTGCACTGAAAATTACTGTGTACGCAACACCTGTGGATTCCGAAATGTACCTGGTTGCTAGAATCGTCTGTGCTGTTGATGATATCCAACAGAATCCAGGTGTATTTGAGCGAGTCCACCAATCCATGGCCTGACGGTGTAACGCTTGCATTGCTAGCAATGGTTGGAACTTTGAACATCTTTTGTGACATTTTTACGCATTATTTTTCCCAGCACATCTATTATTTTTTACCAATAAATACTCCAGATGATTTCTCTCTTGTACCTGCCATACTACTTTCCCATGGCGTGCTTAATCATGGTTGCAAGGTGATTCTGAATCCTTGTGATATCCCCTACATCCCCTTAAAGTTTATCCAAATATTTCTGGGGCACCCTGCATAATTTAAGTCTCCTTTTCATGCTCTGTAATTTTCCTTTATAGCAGAATGATACAGTTGTCCCGAAATTGTATAACATTGTAATATTTATCAAAAGCCTACTTTGTTGCTAAAACATAGATTTAAAGCTGAATTTTCTGATGAGATGAAATTGTTTTCAAAATTCTTACCAAAATGTGCTACACCGAGAAATCTGCAATATTTTAAGAAAGTAATATAGGACATTAATGAGACAATTGCAACGAATTCCTTAGATTTTATAAATTTGTACTTCTGATTTAAAATAACTCACATTTTCTTAAACAACGGTAAAAATCGAATGAGCATTAAAACTCGAATAAAACACGCTGTTTTTTTAATCCAAAATATTAAAAAAAAACCTCTCGGAAAGGAGGCAAAAGGTTAAGAAAAAGGAACAGTTCATTTGAAAAATACAAGACAATTAACTAACAAAAACACTGATTTACAAAAAAGGTGACTGATGATCAAGTAGTACTCCAATGGAAATCTCAGTTGATTCGATAGTGGTGCTAACTCAGGTAGTAGTCATATCGTACTTAACCTTAATCCTTTTAAGGAGAAAATACATTTATTGTATCAAACATTTTTAATTTTATGCGTAAATCACGTTACACTACATTATATTTTCAGATATATAAAAATAAGAAATATAGGCATATTCCTTATAACCAAAACAATGAAAGCCGTAGATATACTGCCTTTGTGTCATGCAGTAAAATAAACTGAGAAAGAAGCATTTTGTTTACTTAAAATTTAATGTTCATCATATTCCACAAGTAATATTATAAGTTTCGATCTTTTTTAATAACATAAAAACAATTTACAGCAATTAATCATTCACGCCTGCATAAGAAAGCATAAAAAATGCTACTTAATTATCTTAGTACATTATGTACACTGCAAAAATTATTCTACAAAAAAGTACTTGGAAATTAAAATCCCCTGAGATAGCATTAAAAAAAAGTAATTTCAAAATATTTCTTGAAAAGAAAAAAAAAATACTAAACATTAATAAATGTTTAAAAATTGCAAATACCCCGAAGGGAGAGTATAAGTAGGTATTAAAGAAGGAAATGAATTAACGACAGTGTTCACAAAAACAAATATTTTTATTGCTTAAATTTTTTATAAAAAAAGGGAAGCATTTACCATTATTTAGATAATAAAATGAAATAGCGTTACAGTTTAAACATGGTAACTGAGTTTCTCATTTTTGATAATCTTCTTAGCATTTAAACCAAAATAATTAAAGATATCTTAAAATAAAATGAAATGAAGTAAAAAGAGAAGGGAAAAAAAGGAATTGAGTGATACAGTTTAAAAATAAAAGAACTAAATTTAAGGTGAATTACTTAATCAGGGACGAAATTGGGATTGGATTTTTTTTTTATCAGTAATTGAAAAATAGAAATAAAAATGAAAAGATAATTGCGTAAAATCTTACTAATTGAAAAACTTCTTATGATTCTTAGAATTATAGAAAATAAAAATTGAATAATTAACTACAGAGATTAAGTAATTCGAAAATTGTTTTTCAAATATGTCCCGCTATCTTAAATCTACAACATTTCAGCTAATGTGCAAGTAATCTTTTAAATTTACTATTTGGATTTGGTTTATAGAGATGCTTAAGCCAGATCGTGAATTATTGTCTATCATTTGGCTATTATCTTTTCATTGTCACTAATATTGGGGCTGTTAATGACAACCAGTTCTTTATTTGATTTCACTTTAAAATGAAACGTTTCTCAATTGGTTGCTTGTTACTGATAAATAGGGCTACAGCTGTAATGAATTGAATTGAATTGAATGTAAGATTTAATGGCACAAGGTCCAGAGAGGACATGCTGCGCCAGACACACTACAGCTGTAATGATCCACGTAGCATCTTCCACATGTCACCTAGCTGCTACCAATTAGTAATATATGCTTGGAAGCCATTTATTGCTATTTGTAAGGAGAATTAGTGGCTCAAGCTAGATTTTCTCGTACGAAAATGCCTAAATGTATATTGAAAAATTTAAAAATGGTGGGTTTTGGATAACAGAGGGCTTATTATGAATGGCATATATTTTCCGTTAACTTCGTTTCTTGTAAGGACATGTGTTTGGTTATCCACTTTCTTAATATGGTTTTTTCGCACTGCATTCCATTATAGAATAAAATCAAGATAGCTATATTTAAGTGGAACTAGCTGTAAGAAATCTAGAACAATCTCCTTTATTTCCGTAATACAAACTGCAGATTGACCTTATTTTCGATGTTGTTACACGAGCATCTTTTCGTGCGTGACACGTCCTTACAAAAGAAATAAAGTGTTTTTGGGTTGTGTTTGAAGTTTTTTTCCTGCAGAGTAAATGAGGTAGACATTGAGGTGTATTTGAGGTGTATTTGAGGTGCGTTAGATGTAAGAAAAAATAACCTGTACACATTCAAAACAACCTCGGTCAGCAGGCTGCTATAAAGTTTATTTCAAACACCTTAATTATACACCTTGAGCAGTTGATTTCGTAAGATTGACTTCGTTATCAACCTTAATACTTCAACACCTTAATTTTTTGTAATAGGTCTTTCTAGCAAAATTGCTTAAGGACTTTTTTCGACAAGGAATATAAAAATAGCCACAGCATAGTTCTGAGTGTCATGCACTCAAAAAAACCTTTAGTTTCAAACTATACTACACTATCTTGTGGAAAACAATAATCGGAACTTCAAAACTGATCAACAGCTTAAATGTTTAGAAAGTCATTACTTTGGGGAGTTTTTTCCACTAAGTTGAAAAACATACGAGTTATAGATTAATTTACAATTTTTGGATGTCTTCAGTTGTCTAAATAATGCGAGAAAGTGCAAGTTCAAGATAGGCAAATCTCATTTTAACTGTCATGAATATTTATTACAAAATTACAACAGTAACAAAAATTTTTATTATTAGCTAAAAAAGCATTATTTTACATGAAAACAAAGCATTCAGAAACAGCATAACAAACATCACTCAAACTTTTTTTTCTTAAATCAACCTTTTTTTAAAACAACGTTTTTTTAACGTAGCTGCAACGTACAAAATTACTTAACTTTCACGACACATTATAGGGTAATATTATCTTAACGAAATTTCAGAAACTATTCATCTGATTCATTTTGTTTCTAATATATAAAAAATATTTAACCTACCTCTTCATAGTTTAATACAAAAAAGTTCATTTTTTATTCTAAAAGTGGAGAAACTGGAGACATTTTTTTTATGATCATTGGAAAAATAAGCGGAAACACCAAGTGAACTTCCAAGGTCTGTTTACATTGCTTGTAACACAACTTTTCAAAGCTGTAGCTGTTAACTCCTCTAAATGTTCGGATTTCGGAAAGTCATTTGAACACATTGATTCACAAAAGCTTTCAAAAAGCTTTCAACAAGCTCTTTCAGAAAATGAAAAATATAAATAAAGTTCGATATTTGGAAAAGAGTGTTGTCCTTTTTTCCCCACCCTCAAGTGCGTTTTATATTTCACTCAAAAAAAAGAAATACGAGATAATGATGGATATCCATCTTGTAAAGAGTAACTCTCCTATTCAAGTAAAAGGCAATAAGTGCAAAAGGAGAAAAAAAATATTAGATACATGTGGTTAATGTACAATAACTGCTTGTTTACCATCATATGTATGAAATTTTACTCTGGCCAGCCTTTCGTTTTACAAGAAATGGCAGATAAGTTTTCATTTTAACTGTAGTGAAGAAATTCAAACTTTAAAATAAGAATCAGTAAATCTGGTTTCCTTTTGAGTGAAAAAAAAACGATTTTCATCAGTTAAATTTTTTGTCGATAATATATTGAATTTAATTATACGAAAATTGAATTAATGGTTCAAGGTTTAAAAAGGAACATGATTTACGAATGACACGTGCCCTATTAAAATTTAAAGAAAACTTAATTTTACGTGAGCTTCCAGATTTATTTTGCTTATTAGAGTACTTTTTTTTGGATTATGAGTTAGATTTATGAGTCTAACTCATACGGGACGTTTTAGAAAAAAGAAATATACAAAATGGCGGTCATGCAAGCTTCAGATTTTGTTTAAACACATTTATTTAAAAAAAACCTTTATAAACCAATTTTTAACTACAGCTCTTCGCCAGCCTTGACTTCTTCAGCACCCTTTCACAGGCTCTTATTCTCCAGTTTTTGATTTTTAGGACCTAGAAAGTAATCCTCAAAGTCCTTATGCCATCTTAGTTGTGACCCACACTTTTTCTATTTTAGCATTTATTGTCTAAATCTATTTTAAAATGTCTTATTTGGCATAGATTATGTTTTGCATGGATTTTATTTTCTTCATGTTCTAGCTATGAATCTTTCCATATTTTCCACTCAATTACATTTTAAATTATAATTTTTAGTATCTCCCACATATTCAGATTTTGATAGTATTTTGAAAATCTGCATTGCATGCAGAATATTATGTTCTTTATTCAAATATATCAAATCTTTTTCAGACAGGATTTCATAAAGTAATTTTGAAGTCAACTGGATTTTTAATAATTATTTAATAATCATTAGATCATCATTATTTAAGTGAACATATTATGAAAGAAAAAATTTCCATGTTAATGAAAATTGCTACTATTGTGAAAATTACTGTTTCTAATGCAATTAAAAGGGAATTGTATATTATTATGCGTCGATATTAGTTTACTTACTTCTTTCAAGCAAAATTTCATTTTTTAAAATGAATAA